AATCTTAGGTTTCTGGGCATCATAGCACACCTTCTTCATAAAGCCATTACTCATTAGGCCAGAGAGCATAGCAGAGACATCTAATACAAAGGAAGAAACACAGAATCCCTGACAAAATGAGCCGGCAGAGGAATTTGATCCAAACAAAACACCAGACAGAACCCCAGAAAGAGGGCTACATGAAACAGAGATCACCAATCTTCATGGTAAAGATTTCAAAATAAAAGTCATAAACATGCTCAAAGATTTACAGAGAAGTATTCAAGATCTCAGGGAGGAATTCAACAAAGAGATAGAAAATCTGAAAAAGAACCACTCAGAGATGAAGAATACAGTATCTGAAATGAAACATACAATGGAGGGATTTAGAAGTAGATTATATCATGTAGAGGAAACAGGAAATGAAATAGAAATTAGATAACAGGAAAACAGAGAAGCTAATGAACAGAGAAAAAAGGATCTCTAGTAATGAAAGAATGATAAGAGAGCTGTGTGACCAATCCAAACAAAATAATATTCACATAACAGGTACCAGAAAGAGAAGAGAAAGACGAAAGGATAGAAAATCTCTTTAAGGAACTAATAGTTGAAAACTTCCCCAATCTGGGGAAGGAAATAGACACTTAGGTCATGGAAGGGCAGAGATCCCCTAACAAAAGGAACCCTAGAAAGACAATGCCAAGACATATAATAATTAAAATGGCAAAGAACAAGGATAAGGAGAGTGTGCTGAGGACAGCCAGAGAATAAAAGGTTACTTATAAAGGAAATCCCATCAGGCTATCAGCAGACTTCTCAGACGTCTACAGAAACTCTACAGGCCAGAAGGGAGTGGCATGATATATTTAAACTAAAACAGAAGGACCTCCAACCAAGAATCCTCTGCTCTGGAAAGATTATCATTAAATTTGAAGCAGGTAGTAAACAATTTCCAGATAAATAAAAGTTGAAGGAATTTGCCACCACAAAGCCAGTCTTACACAATATGTTAAAGGGATTGCTATAGATAGAAATGCTCCTAAGGCTAAATAGCTTTCACTAGTGAAAATAAACACACAGTAAAGGTAGTAGATCAACTAATTACCAAGCAAGTACAAAATTAAAACAACAGAAGCAAAATTAACTATATACAAAATCAGTCAAGGGATACACAAAAAGTGCCGATTATGACATCTAATATAAAAAATGTGGAGGAGGAAGAGGAAGAAGAAAAAAATACCTTTAGATTGTGTCTGAACTAGAGTAATCAGCAATTTATTTAAAATAGACTATTATATAGAAAAGAAGCTATCCTTGAACCTTTGGTAACCACAAAACTAAAGCCTGTAATAAACAACACACACACAAAATTAATTAATTAAAAAAAGAGAGAACTCCAATTACAACACTGAAGAAAACCATCAATCACAAGAGAAGAGTTTAAGAGAGGAACAAAGGGACAGGAGATATAAAAAAAACCGCCAAAATTTTAACAATTAATAAAGTGGCAATAAGTACATATCTGTCAATAATGACCAGTCAAAATGCACCAATCAAAAGACATAGAGTGCCAGAATGGATAAGGAAACAAGACCCATTTACATGCTTCCTACAGGAGACTTACTTCAGACCCAGTGACATACATAGACTAAAAGCGAAGGGATGGAAAAGGTATTCCATGCAAATAATAGGGAGAAAAAAGCAGGAGAAGCAGTACTTATATCAGACAAAATAGACTTCAAAACAAAGTGTTAAGTCTGGGGAAAGAAAATCCCGGGGCAAAATACCTCTAAAAATCTAAATCAGTCAAAGGGAGAAATAAAGTTTAAAACCTGTTTATTGCTTACAAACTGCAGTCCAGGGCCGTCTCTCTCCTCTGCTCTGGAGAAGCAAGCGAGCAAGCCAACAACCGCTCCATTTAAACTCTCAGGTTCAGACACACCTTCGGTTGCCCAGGTAATTACCCATTGATACGGAGATGAACTTCTCTCCACCCCTGAGGATATGTAAATGCACTAAAGCCAGGCAAGATATTCTGGAAATGTTACAATTTTACCCACACAAAGAAAGTCACAAGAGACAAAGAAGGACATTACATAATGATAAAGGGGTCAGTCCAACAAGAGGCTATAACCATTATAAATATCTATGCACCCAACACAGGAGCATCTACATATATGAAACAAATACTAACAGAATTAAAGGAGGAAATAGAAAGCAATGCATTCATTTTAGGAGACTTTAACAGACCACTTACATCAATAGACAGATTGACCAGATAGAATATAAATAAGGAAACAGGGGCACTGAACAATACATTAGATCAGATGGACTTAACGGATATCTACAGAACACTCCATCCAAAAGCAGCAGGATACACATTTTTTCAAGCACACATGGAACATTCTCCAGAATGGATCATATACTAGGCCACAAGAAGAGCCTCAATAAATTCTAAAGGACTGAAATTGTATCAGGCAGCTTCTCAGACCACAATGCTATGAAACTAGAAATAGATCACACAAAGAAAACAAAAAGACTTACAAACACATGGAGGCTAAACAACATGCTTCTAAATAATCAATGGATCAAGGAACAAATTAAAACAGAAATCAAGCAATACAAGGAGACAAATGAAAACAAAAACACAACAGCCCAAATCTGTGGGGTGCAGCAAAGGCAGTTTCAAGAGGAAAGTATATAGCAATACAGGCTTACCTCAAGAAACAAGAAGAATCCCAAATAAACAATTCAAATTCACAATTAAAGAAACTAGAAAAAGAAGAACAAAAGAAACCCAAAGTCAGTAGAAGGAGGGACATAATAAAGGTGAGATTTTCACTACACAACGGGTAAGTTTGCTAACTGCACAACATGATGATTATGTACTGTCCACTAAGTGGAAGTGGGTCATCATAAAGGTCTTCACACTGAGTAGGCTGAGGAGGAGGAGGCAGAGGTGGGGTTGGTCCTGCTGTCTCTGGGGTGGCAGAGGCTGAAGAGGTGAGAGTGGAGGGGAAGCAGGAGAGGCAGGCATACTTGGTGTCATTTTATGGACATTTTCTACCTTATTAATAAATGTTCTTTGTGGCATTTTTTTGCAGAACAGGGTACTTTTATCTACAGTAAAGACTTGTTGAGGCAGATATCCCTTCTCCTCAATGAATTTCATAATGGTGTCTAGGAATTTTCTGCTGCCTCTTGGTCAGTAGAAGCTGCTTTTCCTGTTATCCTAACATTTATTAAGCTACACCTCGTTCTCAAATTATCAAACCATCCTGTGTTCTCATTAAATTGGAGAGTTTAAGATCCTTCACCTTCCTTTTGCTTCAAGTCATCATATAATGACTTTGCAAGTTTTTTCAAATTGTTGCAAATCTAAAAAATTTTTTCCTATGTACTTATTGAAAAAATGCCACATATAAGTGGATGCGCATGCAGTTCAAACCCATGCTGTTCGGTCAACTGTATATCAGAAGACTGTTTTGCAAAGGTGGCTCTTGGAGATTTTTCTTTTAGACATCTGATTATTTCTGTCCAAATTCTAAACCATTTGAAAAATTAGATTAAAAAAGCAATGAATGGAGAACCAAAATAGCACTTTCATTACTGATAAAGACTAGGTTAGAAGCAGTAGCTTAGCATGAGGGATAGGCAGCTGTGACAGACTTTGTGTTTTCTAAGATGGCTATTACAAGATCTCCCACCCCACCTGCTCTTCTTCCTATGTGACACTGAGAGATGAAGTCCATGTTCCCTCCTTTTGGATCTGGGTAGGCCTGTGGCGCTGGTGGAAGGGATGTTATACGCCTTCTTAGACAAAGTTATAAAAGGTGATATACAGCATCTTCCTGGTTCTCCTGGGACATTCCCTCTTAAAACCCAGCCACCCATGGTCTGAGGTTGCCCACGCAGCCTGCAGAGAAGCCCACATGGAAAAGAACCTGGCCTGTAGCCCAGAGGCCTGGCTGGGTCCCAGCTAACATAGCTGGCAGCAATTGCCTAGCCATAACACTGAGCCATTTGGGAAGTGTTTTCTCCAGCCCCGCCAACTGGAGTCAAGTCATTCCAGCTCACGTACGTGTGGCTGAGATGAGCTGTCTCCTGTGAGCCCTGCCCAAATTGCAGGGTTTTAATTTACTTCTGTGAGTAAATTAATGATTTCTGTTATTTTTACACCATTAACTTATGGGGGAAGCATAATAATTTATACAGTAACTCTCAGAGCAGCCTGCTGGAGGGAAAGTTTGGGTCTGTAAAACAAACACACTCTCAAATTCAAGTCAAAAGGGAAAAAGACAGAGTCGAAATACCATGCATTTAGAATTTTTGATAGGTTAACTCTACTTAGTTGATAAAAATGGTTCAGTGGCTGTTGTTCCTTGGGCATGCAACTTATTCCAGTTTTCCTGGAACTTTTCTATTTTTAGCAGTGAAAATTTCACATTTGGGCACTCATTCAGTCCTGGGAAACCAGAACAGGTGGTGCCCCCCACCCCATACCCACACCGCAAATTGCCCACAACCAGGCAACTCATTCCACCTCCAGAAGAAGGAAATGGGGTTTGGAAAGAGTTCGGGATGTTGAGGGAAAATTCTTCCCATGGAGAAGATGATTAGAAAAGCCTATTTTCCTAACAGTGACTTTTAAACTGGAAGCCAAAGGAGCTCACCCTGCAAAAACTAGGAGAAAATCTTCCTAAAAAGAGGGCGGACCATATCGAGAGACCCTGATGAAGGAAAAGGTCTGACCTCTGCACAGAACCACCACCACAACCACACTGGGTTGCCTGGAGTTCTTGAGTCAGGGGAACAGAATGTACCACTGGTGGAGGAGTGTCCAGAAGCCAAATCAGGAGGGGCTTTATGAGCCATGGGAGAGAGTGCAAATTTTCTTTTAAGAAAAATGGGACAACACTGAATGGTTTTAAGCAGGGGAGTGATAAGCTGTGAATCACATGTCTCCAAAGCTTGCCCTGGCTGCAGCGTGGAGAATGATTTGGTGGGGTCAGCGAGGAAGCAGCACGTCCAGGGAGAAGGCAAGACACGATGGTGGCTTGAGTTAGGGCCGCAGAACCACTGGGGCTTGCTGATGGATTGGACATGAGTGAGCAGAGAAGCAAGAAATCTGCAATAGCTCCTGGGCTGTTGGCTTGAGCAACTAGGCAACTAGTGCTGCAATTTCCAGAGATGAGGGAAGTTGGAGACTAATTTTATTTTATGCTTTTGGTTTTATGTTTGAGCTGCCTTTATGACAGTTAAATGGAGATATCAGGTAGGCAGTGAGAGGCAACACCTGAGCTCAGGTATCAGGCCTGGGTTTGAATCCAGGCTCTCCCACTAACTGTAAGATCTTGGGCAAGTTGCTAAGCTGCTTTGTCTCGCTTTTTGTCTCTATCAAATGGAGATGATAAAGTAATGAGCGGCAGGTCCCGCTTTCTCCTTTCCTTCCCACCTCCAGTGTGGCTCCCCTGCAGGAAGCTCAGCAGCCCACTCTTGGCAGTGAGGTAAGAGCAGGAAGGAATTAAAGGCGGTAAGAATCAGAGATGCCACCTGGGAGTTATGGGATTGCCAGGGCATCTCCGGCAACCGGTTAGCCCAGGACTGCTTGATAGGTAAGAAAAACAAACCTCTTTTTATTGAAGCCACTAGAGTTTATTGATTTATTATTTGTAGTTGACATAGTAATCAATGCCAGGAGTTTGAAGGAGACCCCCTTGGTCATTGGCATGCAGGCAGAGTAAAGTGTGGCCTGGAACCGCCATCTGGGGTGCGTCGGTTTAGGGTTGAGGTAAGGAGGAGGAGACCCCAAGGAAAACGGAGGGGTTTCCAAGGGCGGTGGCAGAACCCCAGGGGCAGGTTGTGGAGGACGCCAGGAGGGGAGAGGGTCGCTCGGCTCCGCCCCCGCTGCTGTCCCGCCCAGCTCCGCCCGCTTTTAGAGCCACACACACACCGCCCTGTGCACCGCCTGCGGCCACGTCGTCCCGACCCCGCCATGCCCGCCGACCTCAGTGGCACCTGGAACCTGCTCAGCAGCGACAACTTCGAGGGCTACATGCTGGCCCTAGGTAGGGCGCGGAGGGGGGGACGCTGAGGCCGCCTGCCTGTGCTCTCTACCCCATCCCTCCTCGTCCGTCCCCCTGTCCCCCACGTCTGTCCTCCTTTCTGCCGTCTGTCCTCTGTCCCCTGCCCCTCTGCGGCCGTCCTCTGTCCCCCGGCCGTCCCTCCGTCCATTATCTGTCCCCCCATCCCTCTCCCCGTCCTTCCCTCCCTCTGTCGGTCCAGCCACGCCCCTGTCCTCCTGCCGCGCGGCCGAGGCTCCTGCCCCACCTCGGATTGCTGAGGCCCCGGCCACCTCGCAGGGGCACTCGGGGACATGACGTGGGTCCGGCCCGGTGAGGGGCGCCCCGCCCGAAGCCCCTCCCGGGGCCCTCCTCGCCCCGGCCGGGGACACAGATTCGGGGTCCCGACGGCCCGGCGAGGCAGGCTCTCTGGCGGCGGCCAGGTACTCGGGCTGTCCCCCACCGGGCGGCGGCGGTGCCCGCGGGAGTTCGGGAACCCTTCTCCTCTCGAGGGCATGCGGGGCACACCAAACTAGACCCCTTGGAGACCGCTTCACCGCCCCCGGGACGCGATTCCAGCCCGGTGGACGGTCGCTGGGCGCCTGGAGGGTCGCGTGCGTCGCCCCGGCCCGGCTCCGGAGCGCCCCGCTCCCCAGGCGCTTGGCGGAGAGCCGGGTCTAGCCGCGGAGCGTGGCGACTAGGTGGCGCCAGGGGTGTGTGGCGGCAGGGTCTGAGCAATGACTTCGCTTCCCAGAGGGCCTGGAGAACGTTTCCTGGCCCGATGGCAGACCACCTCTCCTTCGCACCGATTCCCAGTGTGTCCACCCTTGGTCTCCTTCAGATTTGCTGCATTTGAGCACCTACTACGTGCCAAGTGCTTTCGCCTAAATAACACCACGGGTGGTGCTTTTGACAGATGGGCCAGACTTGGAGTCTGGGGGCTTGGGGCCACTCTGGCTCCACCTTCTCATCATCTGTCACTGGGCCTCCATCTGCAAATTGGGCTGGGGGTGGATGGGTTGTTTAATTTTTCCCGTTTTTTAAAATATGTGTAACATAAAATTGGCCATTTTGAAATGTGAAGTTCTGCATCTCCAGTGTGTTAAAGATTTCTGTGGCTGTGGTAGGAGTCTCCTCACACCAGGTATGGAAATCTGGAGCTTCTCAAACTAAATCTGATTCAGACAGATACAAAACCTTGCGGGAAAAGAAAAAAATACTTTTTCTCTGCCCATTTTAGGGTCACTGGCTGGGGCTTGTAAATTAGACTAACAAGAGACTGATTTACAGGAAACCAGCAAACAGAAGTTCATTAACTGCAGGCATCAGGAAAACACAGGTGCACTCACTGAGGAGCATTAGTGATGAATGGTTAGAACCTGAACTTGGATAGCATCTTAGTATAAAACAATACTTTTGTAGAGAAGCAACAAAACAAAGAAAAGAACTTTGAGTTTCTAGGGGTAGCAAATTGTGGGGGGTAAATACAGGGAGAAACTACTGGAAAATAAGGGCTGGTTAGTAAAGTTTATTATGTAGATTTTTCTGATTCTATCTCCAGGCTGATCAGAGTCTGGAGTGTCTGTCCTCATATATGGGAGGGGGGACACTTTACAAATATATGTTGTGTTTTTAGGCAAATGGTAAGTGCAAAGAGCTTTTTTTCCATTGACTTCTTCCCAGATGTCTCCCACTCAAAATAATCAATACACTAAAGTGAAATATTTTGGGGTTGCATATTCTGCTACTCTTCTATCTGAATCTCATTTCCTCAGTTTACAATTCATAAAAAGGAATTTCTACTTATCTTTCCCAAAGGCAATAAGCCCTGATATTTTACTTATCTCCCCACCCCCAAACTAGTGGTGACATGTAACCCCAGTGCTTTCTTCCTTATTTCTCTGGCTAGTATCTGGCTACTTGTGTGAAGGACTCAGTGTTAAATCAGGCTATGGCTTTGCATTTTGCCTTGCTGTGCTTCCTTTTTAGCAATTTCTGTCACTTTTAGAGCCAACATCTTGGAGAAGATAACAAAGAATGGAGTCAGAGCCAACACTTCAAACGTGGGGAAACATCTTGTGCTAGGTCTGTCTCGAATTACAAAGTGGTCTTCTAGGTGTTGTGATAAGTGTTTTTCAAACATGTAACAGTGGAATCCTTTACTGTCCCCAATACTGTCTTGCTTTTCTGCAGACTCTGCTGTTACCCCTAGTTGATATTTCCTTTTTTTCATGATTTCAATAGAGACTTATCAGTTATCTGCCACTGTGTCAGATCCTGGAGGCTGAGAGAGTCTTGACGCTCATTTATTTACATTACTTATATTTATTTATTGTCCAACTCATTTCACAAAAATTAAGCCATATAGTATTGAGTCAATATTCTGCCTCACAATTCCTCTTCTTTCTTTTGGTCCAGGTTTCAGAAAACTATTGGTTCCAGACAACACATTAACTCTTATTTGCAATCTCTTTGTCAAAAGAAATACAGGTGTGCTAAGAATTTCCCAAATAGAGAGGCTATTTAGTACAACAGCACCATATTGGAAAACCAGATAGCCAGCTCTTGGTTGTCAACAGTAGGGTCAAAGTCACATAACCTCAGAGCTCCTTTAGTTTCCCCATTTGTTAAGCGAGGTGGTCAGACCATATCTGGTGTTCTAAGTGTCTGAATTACAAACTAAGAGTGTCTCTTAGCATTTTCTACAATAGCTGAGATCAGCCTCAAAACCTGTTGTCAATTCCCAACAAGCTGGGAAGAAAAGGATTTGGTACACACTGCTGTTTGTGGTGGCAATAATACACATGAAAAGAACATAGACTCCAGAGTCAACCCACTTTGCCTACTGCAAATCAGGGGCTCCAGCCCAGATGAGCACAGGGCCTTGTCACTCAAGGACCAGCAGGAGCTCCTTGGAATGGAGTCTTGTGCCTCACTCCAGGTTCCAGATCTATGGAATCGGAATCTGCATTTACCCAGATTCTCAGGTGATTCGACATGCAAATTAAAATTTAAGAAACGCTGTTCTTTGATATTTGATGAAGATACCAAGTCGTCAGTGGGACAACTGGCAGAATGTAACTACTGTGAAACCCAATGTCCCTATTTATTGTATATTCTAATGCCAATTTATGCGGAAGTGTTCAGACCTCTCATGAGGCCTTCTTCCGGTAATGGCAAACTAATTTATTTGTATTAACTCTCCCAGTGAAGACAGATGAATTAAGCTAGACCAAATATATATTTTAAAAACTTTTTAGGGAACATTAGAGCACTACCAGAATAATAAAGAATGATCATGCTGCTTACCTTCAGGGAGTTTGTGAGACTAAGCTGCAATTTTGGGAGCTTTAGAGAATTAGGGAGCAAAAGTTGGAGTCCTTAGTCACTTGAGGGTAGAGAACTTGTCATCACCCTACTTGGGGCCAGGACACTGAAAAGCTACACCTGAGGAGCAAGGGAGGGAGACCTGGAAGTAAACTTCTTTTGTTGCAATAGACTGTAGTTTGACTTTGAATCTCATTCATCTTGATGGTCCAGAAAACACTCAAGACCTGAACTTGAATTAAGGTGCCCCAAATAGCTAGTGCCCTTAAAAGCAATTTTTAAAAATTTTCTTTGGAGGAAGAGAATATCAAACAAGGTCTTAAGTTGTTTCTACAAATAACTTTTCAAATACGATGTCTGGTTAAAAAAAAAGTTAATCAAGTACATGTGGGGATAAGACCCCGAGACACGGAAACTTGGGGAGGTGGCAGATGTGTCTGTTAGTTACCTCAATTGTGGTGATGGTATCATGGGTGTTTGCCTATGTCCAAACTCTTTAAGCTGCATAAATTAAAATGTGCAGTTCTTTGTGTATCAATTGTAGCTCAATAAAGCCATTAAAAAAAATAAAAAGACTCCAATAGCAAGAATCAATAGAAACAACAAACAACAGAACAGGGTCTCCAGATACTGCAATGATCAGAAATAGACTATAAAGCACTTGTGCTGAACTTAAGTTTGGCAGGGAACCAGAATCTATAAAAAGTAACATTGCAATGGTGTGGGGGGTCACAGGAAAACAGTGTAGTGTAGAGAAGGCAAACAGTGAATCTGTGGCATCTTACTACACTGACGGGCAGTGACTGCACTGGGGTCTGGGTGGGGACTTGATAATATGGGTAATTGTAGTAACCACATTGTTTTTTCATGTGAAACCTTCATAAGAATGTATGTCAATAATACCTTAATAAAAAAAAAGGCAGGAAGTGGCAAGTATAGCACACAGAAGACAGGGAATGACTCTATAGCATCTTAATATGCTGATGGACAATGACTGTAATGGGGTGTGTAGGGGGGACTTGATAATATGGGTGAATGTAATAACCACAATGTTGCTCTCATGAAACCTTTATAAGATTGTATATCAATGATACCTTAATTTTAAAAAGTATAAATAAATAAGTAAATAAATAAAAAGACAGGGAGCAAATCATTTATACTGGTGGAAGCAGGATACCTCACCAGCTATATTTCAGGAGGGTTCCCCAATCACCAACTTGAAGGCAATTGAAAATAAATTATCTTGTACTGGGATTATTCTAGTTGCATCTTGAGTTTAATTTTTCATATAATATATCTGAATAAGTCATATTTGGCTTAGTGACATTTTAATATCTCACAAAAGAGAATGATAGACTAAATATCATGCACTAGTACATAATAGGAAATGTTATAACTGTAATAACTGTAATTACCTCACATTCCCACAGGCACTTGAGTATTGGTTTCCAAACCATCATTTACCAATAAATATGCATTGAATAAATGAATTTAAAAAAAGTAACATTGCAGAAACAAAAAGAAAAAACAGAAATACTAGAATTGAGAAATAACAAGCAACTTAGAAACTTAGGAAGATCTGTCCTTCAGATTCCTCTCTGGTGTCCTCTGTTTTCGGAGATAGAGGCTCCTTTCCTCTGTTACAGGGAGGGCACAGGGAAAGATCAGAAAGTCACTCC